TTGCAGCAGATAGACCGAGGAGAGAGATTCGTCGGCCAGCTAGGTATAATGATGTCATGGTTGCATATGTATTATCAGTGGAGGTCGTTGACGTTATGGTTCCAGCCACATTCAGGGAGGCAGAGTCTAGCCCCGATTCGATCAGGTGGAGGGAAGCTATGGAGGAGGAGATGCGGTCTCTTCAGAAGAACGATACTTGGGCACTTGCACAGCTACCTAAGGGTAAGAAAGCTATTGGTTGTAAGTGGGTATATACGAAGAAGGAGGGATCTTCTATTGGGGACATTCGGTTCAAAGCCAGATTGGTTGCCAAGGGATATGCACAGCTTGAGAGCATTGATTACAACGAGGTATTTTCACCTGTTGTGAAGCATTCATCGATTCGGATTTTATTGGCGCTGGTGGCACAGTTAGATTTGGATTTGGTCCAGATGGATGTGAAGACAGCCTTTCTACACGGAGATTTAGATAAGGAGATCTACATGACACAACCCCAGGTTTTCAAAGCTGCAGGAAAAGAAGATTTGGTTTGTAAGCTGAAGAAGTCTCTTTATGGTTTGAAGCAGTCACCAAGACAGTGGTATAAGAGATTCGACGGCTTCATGATTGGCCGAGGGTACACGAGGAGCCCATATGACCCATGTGTTTATATGCACAAGCTACAGGATGGTGAGCTCATATATTTGCTTTTATATGTTGATGATATGCTTATTGCTTCCAGGAATTCTTCGGCTATTCGAAAGCTGAAAGAGGAGTTATCATCCGAGTTTGAGATGAAGGATCTTGGAGAGGCAAAGAAGATATTGGGTATGGAGATCGAGCGAGACAGGGTGAAGGGGAAATTGAAGCTTACACAGAAGAGCTACTTGCAGAAGATGTTGAAGAAATTCAGCTTTGATGGCAATGCAAAAGCAGTTAGCACACCATTGGCTCCCCACTTCAAGCTTTCAGCGTTGATGTCACCTGTTTCAGTTGAGGACAGAGATTATATGTCGAAGGTCCCATATGCTAGTGCAGTAGGTAGCTTGATGTATGCGATGGTGTGTACGAGGCCAGATTTGTCACAGGCCGTGAGCATGGTATCGAGATACATGCATGACCCCGGGAAGGGTCACTGGGAGGCCGTGAAGTGGATTCTACGGTATGTTCGAGGCACCGTGGATGTTGGTTTAGTATTTCAGAAGGATGAGAAGGATGGGCAGGCTTGTATTGGATATGTGGATTCAGACTATGCTGGAGATCTTGACAAACGCCGGTCTACGTCAGGTTATGCTTTTACATTGGCAGGTGCACCTGTATGTTGGCGTTGCACGCTTCAGTCCACAGTGGCTCTCTCTACTACAGAGGCAGAGTATATGGCAGTTACTGAAGCTATTAAGGAGGCTTTATGGTTGCGTGGATTATTGGAGGACTTGGGGATTGCTCAGGAGACTATTCGGATATATTGTGATAGTATGTCGGCTATCTATTTGGCGAAGAACCAGGTTTATCATGCGCGCACGAAGCACATCGACGTAGATTTCACTTTGTTCGGGGACGTCTTGGATGATGGAGATGTCATATTAGAGAAGGTCCACACAAATGACAACCCTGCAGATATGTTGACCAAAGTTGTTTCAGGAGTGAAATTTGGTCATTGTTTGAAGCTTTTGAACATCCTTCAGTGCTGAGGCCTTGGAGGCCATTTGGGTGAACTACGTTCGGCTTGATTCATTGGGCAAGAAGATACGTAGGCAGTCTTTCAGATGCAGCCGGTTTGATCAATTGATTCAGATGGGGGGAGATCGCGTTTCAGCTCGAGTATTGTTCCTGGACTTGTTGAGGAACTATTGGATGATTTGGTGTTGGCCCAGTTTTGGTGGAAACATTCGCCGAGGTGGAGAATTGAAGAAATTACAGAAACTCAGAAAAATCAGCAGAGAGTTGGGCGGTCGACCGGCGCGGTCGACCGCAAACGTGCACCGAAGCTGATGGGAATCAGAGTGCGTGGCAGTCGACCGGCGCGGTCGACCGGAGCTGGTGGCGGTCGACCGGCGCGGGTCGACCACGGATGACTGTAAGTGTTTTTACTCTCGGGACTGAGATTCGGTCGACCGCTGCGGTCGACCGCGAGACCTGCGCGGTCGACCGCCGCGGTCGACCGACGATGATTTGGGCTGGGCTTTCAGGTTTTTGACCCGTTTCGTTTTGTAAGCTATATATATCCTAAACCTGATTTGTTAGGGTATCTGAAGGACGATTTTGAGCAGCCTCTAAGAGAGATTTGTGGCATCCAATTGTGGGAGAGCTTTGAAAGATCAAGTGCTTTGTTTTAGGGTTTGGTCTGAGAGATTTGTAACCCTTTTTGTATTCCCTTGATTTCTAGTAGTAAAAATCTCCCCCCTCCTTGCCCCGTGAACGTAGGCAACTTGCCGAACCACGTAAATTCTTTGTTCTTGCTGTGATTGTGGTTTGCATATTGTTTGTCACGTAAATTCTTTGTTCTTGCTGTGATTGTGGTTTGCATATTGTTTGTGGTTTAGTTCGAGTTATTGTTCGTGTTGCCATATTGTTTGTGGTTTAGTTCGAGTTATTGTTCGTGTTGCCCTAGAAAGCTTCCGCCGCGCACAACAGTAGTTCATGGCGTATATTTGGCAACTGGTGAAACTAGCTTATAAATGTTGGAAACATAACATATAATGCAGCGGAAAATTGCATATCATGTAGATTAATCGAAATTAATAAAATCTCGGAAAAAAATACCTGAAACGTTTTCTGAATTTCTTTGATAATCCGTCCCAAGATCAAAATAAAATAGCTTCTTCAAGAGAAAAAACCTCCAACTAAAATCCACCCGTCACCGAATAGGAGCAATACTGAGAGATAGGTTCTCAAAATCTATTTTTTTTCTTCTCATCTTTTCAAGGCTACATATGAACCCTATATATATATAGGATTAGACCTGCCTTATAGATTTCAATTTCAAAACAATTCTTACTTGTTTAAAACTCTATCCATAACATTTAAATAAAATATTCTTTCCATAACAATTAGTGTAGAAATAGAATTGTATTTCATATAAACCTCTTCAAATGACATTAGTGAGACCAATTAGGTCTTATTTCGAGAACCAATTATTAATCAAATTAATAATTTTAATTTAACAATCAAATCCCTATCCGACCAACTGTTCATAAAAGCTCTTTCATAATATGGGATTAAATATTCGTGAATAATATTATCTTACATTCAGTCCCCTCCAGTATCAATTTATTTTAGGAAACTTTATTGAGCAGCATGAATCACCTATTTGCTCATTCCTAAAAAATTACAATCCCATGATCATAAATAAAAAATCATTTTGAAACACAAATATTTTATTTTATAAGAAAATAATTTCAGAAAAATAATTTCAAAAAAATCACCCCCGACGGGAATTTAATATTTTCAAGGGATATGCATAATAAATTAACTCATAAAAATGAGTATATTGGATCCTATCTAGATGTCCATTATTTCCCTAAATGAAATCTAATAACCCAACATTTCAGGTTGTATACCACTTGTAAAACAAGCTTAACCATCATATCAAAGTATATTAGATTATCAAATTTTAAATGATAATATCATCAAGTCTAGGGACCATGTAATAATTCGATTTATCTATCTCTTAGGTGACTCGTCCTAGAGAATCCAAAAAAAAAAGGTCTTATACTACACATCAAATACGCGCTTATGACATACACCCGGGGAATCTTCATTCTCGATAGTTGAGATCAACCATCATATGTCGTTTTCATGCATAATAACATGTTATAACAAAGATATAGTTATAGGTTAAGCACAAATTTAAGAAATCTCTGAATTAGATCATATCTCCAAGCAAGTGACCATCACAGTGCATGATCTAACAAAATAATCTCTAAGGATAATATAACAATTATATAAAAGATACCCAAACAACATATGCAATAATAAACTCAATTAAAATTCTAAGGATAATATAACAATTATATAAAAGATACCCAAACAACATATGCAATAATAAACTCAATTAAAATTTAATAAAAATGTATTGGATGTTTAAGGGCATATAAAACTACTCTAGCAATAAGCCGCTACAACATATTTGGCAACCTGCTTATTTTGACTTATTAGCCGGAAAAAAACTCCCCAAACTCAGAGTGGTTTTGGTGGTTTATACGCTATATAGTTTGACCAAGTAAATGTCAAGTTTACCCCTCGACATTTAAGATAATTCCATTGTCCGTTCAATATAATAAATTTAGAGTCCTGTCATTTTTTATCATTTTAACAACAATGACAGATTATAATCCACTCAATTTATTTACCAAGCACTCAGCAACAGTCAGCAGAAATAGAAAAGGTTGCAGCTCAGCAATCAGCACAAAAAAAAAGACATCGACTTCAGTTGCGTCATCTTTTCAAGCTGCAAAAGTAGAATGGAAAAAAAGCTGCTAACTGCTAGGGCGACTTTGAATGCATCACCAAAGAGGCAACCCAATAACACCTCCTGAGATTAAAAAAAACGTAGTCCAAGTGCAGACCATATTCAAGCTGCAACTTAAAATAGAATGAGGAAAGGTGCAAAATGACAGTGGAGCTTTGAATGCATTTGGAACCCCATAGTACTTATGTTTTGCACTTACTACCCCTCTAGTTTCATTGTCGCAGATAAACTCGGGTTAAATTTTCTACACTTTTGCCCTTAGGTAAACTCGCTACTTGCCAAACGATAAAGAGTCAAAACTGCAACACCGGTCTATCTGCGACAATGAAACCACATGGGTCGTAAGTGCAAAACAACAGGGGGTCAATGTGCAATTAACTCTTGAATAACCAGAGAAGCAAACCCAATATCTCAGCAAACAGTAAACTTGAGAAAAAAACATTGTGAAAGTGCAGACCACTTCCAAGTTGCAACCAGAAATAGAATGAAAAGGGCTGCAAAATGCTAGTGCTAGTTAAATGTATAACCAGAGAAGCAGCACAATAGTACATATTAGCACAAGAAGCAAAAGAAGTAATTTAATCAACTTGACAAAAAACATAGTCAAAGTGCAGATCATACTTAATCTAGAACCCGATAAAGTAGGTATTACATCTTGTTATTTCACAAGAAACATACATACAGAGATCATAAATTTATGCATTGTGGTTCTTGATAGTCCTATGATGCTCCGATAATATCACGCATCAAGGACAAGTGACTCGGATATAATCAGCGGCTCACCATCTTCTTGATTAGCTTTACAAGCATGGATGGAAATACAGATGTCATTTGATTCCAGAAACTTCTCGCCGTTGACCAGGATAAGTGGGCCATAACGAAACACCAATCTCTTGCACTTTTCAAATAAACAAAAAAATAGTTATACAAGAAATTATTCGATGAACGACAGCAGGGATCTAGGATCAAAATTGAATTGCAGGTGTATTATTAACAAAATGTATTCTATTGGCTTTGAACTTATAGTATCCATTCTTATAGTTAAACATTTAATCTTTTAGCTAATTATTAAGGTAGCACATAAATACCTCCTTAGCGTACTGCTCCATTCTGTTGCATTCTTTGAGAAGTATCTGAATTATCTCCATCTGTAAATTAAACCGAAGAGCACATGCCATCAGATATCAATCATCGGCAATGCAAAAACTGTTCAAACACTTATATATATATATATATTCATATTTATTATCATATCTAAAGCAATGGGAAATACTACATTCAAAGCAAAAGCATGAGACTTCGATAAAAACAGAACTCGAGAGAGACAGTTGACTACCTGTGAATCAGGATCTTTCAGTTTAGTAACTATTTCAGTAACAACTTGACGGCAAAGCTTGCAGGTGTCCTCTCTCATTGATATTCGAGTAGAGATCCTCTCACATAGATTGACCTTTCTGCAGAACTCATCCGGACGTATTTTACCAATCTCATTGAAGAAGAGTTGTCCATAGTAGTCAACCAATATGACACACTGCAAAACAATTATCAGAACATAATCCAAAGAAAAAACGTCCACATGAAATTTTAAATGCTACCTGCGACACAATTCTCTAATCTGGCAAGGGATCAACGTACCTGTTTTTCAAAGGAATGCATCTGCGAACAAGCTTGATGGAGAGTTTTCATTACATCGGTCTCAGTCTTGTTGGCATTGAGATAATCGGTTGCCAGAGCAGTGTATTCTTCACATAACGTACACAATTGTTCATTTCTTTCTAATGCTTTTGGACTTTCACCGCCTTGAACATTGTTATCCATGGGTACAAATGGAAAGAGGAAATAGATATCAGCTTGGTTTGCTTGTCGCTGAGATTATTTGAACTTTTACATGAAAATAACAATTGTTCATTATAGACAGGTTTACAGTGATTGAGCAAATAACCAATTTTTTTTAGCAATGGGTTAGGCAGGCTACAAATCAGAAGATTTAGAAGCACACATATGTAGGTGTAACTGCTTTTCCAGAATCATGTTCTACAGGTCAGAAGGTTAAGACTTTTGCAGAAAGATTCAGTTCCCCATGCACAACTTCCATCTAGGTAATATCAAGTCCTACCTTATTCATATATATGCTCAAGAGAAGCTGCTTCATAACCATCACCATGTCAAAATAAGTTTCTGTTGCTTAGATCAACTTATTAAATGTGCCAATAATGACCCACCATTACTTCACACATATCACTACACCAGTGATTAAAGAATTACTAGGATCCTTCTTAGTCAGTGGATCTTATTTAGAGAACACAATATATGTATTTTAGTATCCTATTAACAATGAAAAATGCATCGACATCCAAGAAAAGCTACAAGAAAAGTTAACAGCAGCTTCTGGAACTAAGAAGACAATTCAAAAGAATGCCTTTCAACTTGCATTTTGAAGATTATTTGTACTGTAGCATTTAAACAGATCAGTTACAGCTGACACTCTTAATTACTTATCTACTGAAAGCTTAAGAGTGACATCAGCAATATGGACTTGGTGCAGAATTTACGGGGGGAAATTTTGCTTAAAGCAACAGGATTTGAGGTTTTGCAGACAAATCATCAAAATGAATAGCAGCTACTGAGAGAATAGTTGTGAACTATATGATCGACATGGTTAGGTTTTGCTACAGGCTAGCTATCCTCAGGATTTATTTTTAGTTCCCACCTTGCCATAATTCTGTGGTCGATCAGGAATTTTGAGCGAACTTAAAGGATTGCCAACAGACCCACAATGAGTTGAAAAGGAAAAAAAAATCGGTCGATATTTTTAGGGAGGATTGTGCTACACAGCAGATTATCCCGATTAATAGGATATAAGGTTTAGATAATGTCAAAATTGAATCTGTGAAGTTGATCATCTAAATAGTTAACATTCCGAAGAAACCTAATTATGTAAGTGATCATATAATTCATATAATTTACTACAAGAATGGAATCTTTGCATGAGTACAAATACTCTAACAGAATACAAGAAAAATAACAGGAGAAAATTGATGCTTACCCATAATATCATAGGTGACTAAACTTCTAGCATCTACATAGGTCCAATAGATAAGCAATGTGAGAAGAAGGAAAAACCTGTTTCCAAATGCCATAGCACCTGCAATAAAAAATCATCAGAAATAGTATTGCACTTCGGACACAACTTTATGTGGTGAAAGAGAAGATTATGGTCATTTATGTCTTCAAGTTCTATCAATTATGTACAGTCGCATGATATAATCTGTAACTATGTTTTTATTATTAATGAAAAAATTAGTCGTATGTGTAGTATATAATATAAACAAACTTTTGTAATCATTAATGTGTCAAGTCCTACATAACAGCCAACATAATGTCAATGGATAGAAGGCTCAGGTATAATAGAGTATAATATAAATATATATAGAACACCAAGAAGTTGCTTCCAATAAAAATGCAGATATATAAAAGATTTTACAATTACATAGAAAGAGATCAAAATAATATAGAAACATCTGCTCCTACCAAGATAGAAACACACGAAGACAAAATTATCAGAGACTATCCAAACATTTTTAACCTGCACGAAGAACAAAATCACAAAAAGAATAGATATTACACAATTCAACTATTACAACCAGCTAAAAGAACTTATATTCACATAATACACCAAAAAAACCGATTTTTATTCTCTCACATTATAATTTTGTTCTTTTCTTCACTTCATGCTAAGAATCAGCATCCGCTGATTAACAATTTTAATGGCTTGTGTTTTTCAGCATTCACTACTCCAACACACATCACCACAAATTTCAAAAATTGATGTATTTTTTAATGCTTTCACTCTTTTGGACCTTTAGGTTCAGTAATCACTATCCTTGAATCCAACAACCAAAAAAAAAACCCCAAAGATTCCAGCTTCATCAGTTTTCTTGATTATTTAAAAGAATGTACGACCAAATTAGCATCAATAACAGCATGCCAGAGCAACAACATATCGAAAGATTCAACATATTAATCCTGATAATAAACAAAACCCTTAGATCATAAAATTAAACCCTAACCTTGATTTTTTTTTTTTTTTTGAGACGAATCACGACGACGAGAAGCGATCAAAGAAAAACTCAAGCGATTATTTGCTCCAAAAAATATTTCTAATCGATTAAAAAGGAAAGATCGGAGATAATACCCAGAGAGAGAGACAAAGACTTGAAATTGAGGTTGAAGTTTCGTTTCGCGACGAGAGAGAGGGGGGATGGGGAAAGAAGGATATTTTGCTGACGTGGAAAGAGATGGAATTATTGGAGATACTTATCGTGATAATAATTTAATAATAATTGAGAGTTTGGTTGCGTAATCAAATAACTTTTTTCTGGTGGGAATTTAATATTAATATTTTTTTTCTTTTTTTTCATATTTACCCTCACTATCATTGTTTTTAGGATAAACGGCACATAACCTACTCCTCTATGATTTTCGTTGCACTAAACTCCCTCGATTTATTTATTAGCACTTAGTCTCATTGATCCGTGAGGAAGAGGGGGTGTTACTTGACATTATAGAGAGTGTTAAGTGCTAATAAATTAATTGCGGGGGGTTTAGAGCAATTAAAGCTATAAACGGTAGAGGTTACTGTAGGCGTCAAAAACTGCTGAGAGATATCCGAATACAGCTCAAAAAGGCAGAAGAACACAAGTATGGGCTGTCTCGCACGCGAGACAGTCTTTACTGTCTCGTACGCGAGACAGACTTGACTGTCTCGCCGTGCAAGACAGTCTTTACTGTCTCGCAGGGCGAGACAGACTTTTACTGTCTCACCCACGCGAGACAGTTTTCACTGTCTCGCCCCCGCGAGACAGTATTTACTGTCTCGCCGTGCGAGACAGAATTTACTGTCTCGCCCATGAGACAGCTCTCAGAGGCCCAAAACTACTTTGCATAACCGCCAACACGTGGTCACTAACTGTTCAAGAACGTGGGAAACGTTGTGGGCGAGAATCGTTTTGGTGAATTAGAGCAAGAAAGAGAGTCTTCCTTCTGCACAAACATCCTCAAGAAGTTTCTGGCGATTCCTAGAGATCTAAGCTCTGACTTGATCTTTAGAAGAGTGAATATCTTACATCGATAAGATATTCGCTTCAAATTCTTACTTCGATAAACGAAGGAAGAATCATTAAACCCCTCACGGTTCAATCAGAATCTGTGATTTGTTGGTCCACGAGTCAAAGCGCTCCCGTCACAGGCAAAGATCCCACGCAAGCAGTGATCCAAACAACGATCCTGCGTTTGTTTCTCAAGAGTTGCAATTTTTCCTTTTGTTATGTAAAAGGAGTCTTATAAAAAGGCTATCTCTTTTTTGAATTCGTTGTAATCGACCGAAGATATAATGAATTTCATTACAAAACCAACTTTTGACGCAAACAAGCTGACGACCACAGTGGGAGCCAACAGTCTCGCTGCCGAGACCGTCGTGTCGCAGCCAATCATCAAGATCCCGGTTGAATCAACGGTCGAGTACGAGTTCGACCAAGCAAAGTTTGAGGAGTATTTGTCGTCCTTATCTGTAAAGTCTTCCTCGCCTCGCAAATGCAAGAAGACTTCATCTTTGTTGAAGTTGTCAAACACTACAGATGAAGACTCTCACTTGATTATTGCTGAGGATTTTACTCGCAACACCTCTGCTCACAATGGCTCTTATCTAGTTAAAGAGTCATCGAATCAAAGCCCGCCGGCATTGACGAAAAGAGCTCGTCAGAGACAACGCCAGCGCCGCGCTCGCCAAATGGCTAAGGCCTTGGAACAAACCGACGGGGTTCGTTATCACGCGGACCTAGAGTCGAGGAGACATCGAGTGGTTCAGTTGTCTCAACAACCAATCATTTGTATCTCTGCTAAAATAACGACGGATGAATGGACTTTTTTCAAGAGGGCTCGCTCGACCCTCAAAGAACGTATACAAAAACGTCGTGCAAACGCTGCTCATGCCCGTGCTCTCTCACAACAAAGACGAGAAAGGAGGAAGGAAACGGTGACCAAAGGACCACCGAAACTCCGCCAAGCTTGGATTCCAAAGTCTGGACTTATGCAAAATCAGCATTCGGAGCCCGTTAAGACTCCATACCCACAAGGGGGTGGTTCTAAACGTGCGACTCCCGACATAACCTTGGATCGTTCAAAGGCAATAATAAATTGTCCTGAGAATGCCAACAAGGTCATACCTGGGAGGTCATGCCAACAGACGATACGATTTTTTGGCAATCATACCGATGAATCGTATTATCAAGTTGGGGTTGTGAATAATTTTCGAAAGAGAGTTATTCGAGAAATAAACTCTCGTTGTTCCTGTGCGCGACTTGTTAAAGCAGCATTATCAGAATGTGACTATTTCAAACGAGAAGTCATCCCACGAAGAGTCTCTGTATTGTCAAAGCCTAAGCCGAGACATTTCCGCAAGAGAAAATCAGCTGCCCAAGATGATGGATTCCCTGAAGTCACCATCAACGTGGCTGATAAAAGAAAGTCTAAGCGGCATTCAAGTAACTCAAATCCCGACTTTTCTCCCAGAGGAAAAGTCAATCCAAGAATTGCTCAAAGGATGTCTCGACTCCAATTAGAAGCCATCAGACGCAGAGATTCTAAACAGCATTCAAGTGACTCAAATCCCGACTTTTCCCCGAAAGGAAAAGTCAATCCAAGAATTGCTCAAAGGATGTCTCGACTCCAATTAGGAGCTATCAGACGCAGAGACTACAAGAGAATGCAAGAAGGAATGTCCTCGGAGGATGAATTCTCGGACACTTATTCTGCAATCGCTTCTGATGATACAATGTCTAGCACAGGACAAATCAGAGAAGTATTCACAATCACTGCTGATCAGTTCACTCAAATACTTCAGGAAGCTCTAGCCAAACAACGTGAAGAAATTAGAGCTGAAGTGAAGACAGAAATGGAGTTAGCTATCCAACAAATGAGAGAATTGCTAGCTCAGCGGCCTCAACCCCCTGAGTCCAGTCAAAGAACTGAATCCAGCCGCCACACTCAGAAAGTTGTGGATGACAGTGATCCAGAAGTGGATGAAGTCATTATGGCTGATACATCTCCTAATGACAATAACGCTGGGGGTGGTTTAGCACATCCTCCCAATAACGATATTGGGGGTGGTTTAATAGCACCTCTCACAGGGGGTGGTCTAACTCATTCTCCTCAACGTCCTTCGAACGAAGACATAGACGATAAAGGGAAAATGAAAGAGCTTGAAAACAAAATCAACGCTTTGATCACGGCTCAAGAAGTTAAGAAGACGGGTATTTCATGTCCCTATCCAAGGGAATGGGATTCAATACCATACCCGACGAAGTTCAATCTGATTAACTTCACACCGTTTGAGGGGAAGAGTTCGCCGATTCAGCACTTGATTTATTTCAAGTCTCATTTGGGCATAATCTCTGGAAACGAGGCTTTAATGGTCCGGTCATTCGTTGGCCCCCTTCGTGGGCCCGCCTTCGATTGGTACCGACGGCTCAAGCCAGGGAGCATCAATTGTTGGGATGACATGGAAAGTTTGTTCCTCAGCAATTTCTTCGATGATGACACCGAAGTGTCAATCGGAACCCTTTTGGATGAGAAGCAAAAAGACGGAGAGTCAGTTGACAACTTTGTCAAACGTTTCCGTAACAAAGCAATGAATTGCAGAGATCCTATTACAGAGGAGTTCATCCTGCAAACATGCCACAATAACCTCTCCATCGATGTCCTGGAAGCTCTGGGGGTCGTGCCATCCACAACTTGGAAGGAGTTAAAATCTCGGGGTGAACAAGCTGAGCACTTTCTTAAAAGAAAGAAAGCTGAGAGAGGCCAACCAATGACATCTGCAATCGTTGAGAATGCGACTCTCGATCCGAGGTTTCAAAAGGAGTATTCTTTCGAAGATGATGAAGCTCCAGCCATATTGGAATATCTCCTCGCTAATGACAAAATCGAGCTACCACATATTAAAGATCAGGATGGAGCTAAGAGGATTACGGATCCAAACTACTGTGCGTACCAATGAAGGGTTCTTCATCCCACCGAGATTTGCTTTGGACTCAAAAATAAAATCCAAGCCCTAATTGACACCGGCGTCATAACGGCGAAACAAGCCGATTAAAGATGACTTTACTCCATTGGGTACACGAGTATAAACTGTTTTCCCTGACTCCGATGAGTATACGAGTATAAACTGCTTCTCCATCTCACTCCGAAAAGTATACGAGTATAAACTGCTCCTCGATACTCCAACAGGTATATGAGTCTAAACTATTTCCTTTCTTTCACGGGAAGTTCCTGGAGAATGCCATGCATGGTACTTTTAAGGATAACCCGATCATACAAATGTATTCCTCGTTACACCCAGTTTTGCAAAGAAAGCTGGGGGTGGATAATTCATGTAACGGGAAGTTCCCGGAAGAATACTATATGTAATTTTCTTAGGGATAATCCGATCATTACAAACAAAGTGATAAACACTACATCCCCACGGTGATTTACGAATACTCTTTTGCAGAGGTAAGATTCGATCATTTCGTTGGATCAATCTTCCCTCACAAAACTCTCTCATGGTCAAACCTTTAAACAGTTAGGACCAAAGCCAAAATCCCCTCTCGATTCCTTCCATGAACGAGAGGTCCACAAATCGAATGATCAAACCTTTTAAACAGTCAAGATCGCCTAAAAACTCCCATTTGGTCAAACCTTAACCAAAATCCCCTTTCGATTCAGTTCATGAACGAGAGGTCTACTTTTGAATTGAATAATCAAACCCTATGACAGTCAGGATTATTCAAACCAGTCCAGATCCTTTAAGTGGAGATCCCACTTTGAGTTTCTTTTGCATCAGGAGATAGAATATAAAATTCTTCCTCTCCATCATCGGGTTCATCTCTACCAACAAACAAGAGACCAGGAGATAGAATATAAAATTCTTCCTCTCCGATTTTGGGTTTATCTCTACCAACAAACAAGAGACCAGGAGATAGAATATAAAATTCTTCCTCTCCATCATCGGGTTCATCTCTACCAACAAACAAGAGACCAGGAGATAGAATATAAAATTCTTCCTCTCCATCATCGGGTTCATCTCTACCAACAAAAAAGAGACCTGATTACTTCCCAACGGGTATATGAGGTTAAACTATTTCCCGAATA